AGTTCATTTCACTTGCAAAAAATATTTTGTCTCGTGTTTTGATATCTGTAATGGACTTCAAACATAAACATTTTAAATATTTGAAATAGGCAGGTACATTAAAAACTTTAGGTTGCACTGAATTAAAAATGACTACTGTGAAATGCAATTGACGTTTTCTGAAATGCATATAATTAACCTGGAATTAAACTTACCATTTCGGAAATACTACTACTATTCTAAAATGCAATCGATGCTTTCAGAAATATAATTGGAATATTTGTAATGTAATTCACTATTTTAAATAGTTTGTTTTTATTTAATGTATACAATGAATCTTGCAGATGTATGTGCATCTTATATTCTACATACTTATCGTGATACCCACATGGTGCCTTTTGGCAGAACATGATAGTACCTCTGAACACCGCTGCTTCCATCAACCTGCCAGTGAATGCCGTCCTAACGATTTATGCAGATGTCACCAGTTAAAAGACATCAAAAGGGCTGCTGTTTGTTGTGACGTAAACAAATTTACCCTTACAGAAGGATTAGCATGTGCAAGTAAGTTGAATATACAGTATGTTGTAAAAAAAATTAGTTATGTATTAACTGGAAATATAAAATGTCAAAATAATCATTTTTATGACCCCATGAAATTTCATTGAAGATAAATTCTAAAACTGGCGCTAGAGAGCAAAACACATTTTCATTTCGCTGTGGCATAATAAATGGGAATAGTAAGTAGTTCACGCAAGATTTGAATTTTGCGCCATTTGTATTGTAAAGTGTTGAAGATAATGACAGCGTAACAACTGACAATTCAAATATTTCAAAGATTTGCATATTCATGCATACAAAGTTCAATTGATTCAAGAACTGAAGCCTTCTGACCACGAACGAAGAGAGTTTGTTGAATGTTGGAAATGAATGCTCCAAACAATCACGTGCGTGCTAGAGTGAGACAGAGTGTACTCAGATACTGTTTGTCTCTATCGCACACTCAGCCACACTTTTCGCAATGGCATGTTACCTCCAGTAATATATGCTCGAAGGATGAAAGTTACTGGTCTCCAAGGGGCACATATTGCCGTGACATTGTCTGTGACATTTCCAAGGTCACGGCAATACGTGTCCCTTGAAGATCAGTAACTTTCATCTGAACCACTTTTCACATAACCATGTACTTTAGATTTTAGAAGGGGTGGACGGGTAGTCTGGGACATCCTGTATAACTCTATACTGCATACTTTATGAACCAGTAAAAAATTTACAATTTTTACCTGTGTACAAAATTACTTCTTACGTGAATTTTGGAATTCGCTTTACTAACAGAACAATAATTTTGGAAGAACTAATTGATTCAGAAATGCTAATTATATTTTACAGTGAGCTTTGTGTGTTTAAATACGAATATAAACGCTCTATTTGATATAACGAAGAATTTCCGGTGCAATTGTAAATATGAACAAGGTCTTTGAAAATTATAGTCGCTGGACATCATTTTGTTGACAGAGCGGATACATTTACTATATATTAGAAAACCTATTGGATTTGAAACTGATTCTGACTTTATATTTCTGTATATTTAAATAGAAATCCTTTACTTTTCCTGCTGTCTTTTGGAAACTTCTTTAATAGGAAGGGTTTGTGTTATTTGTTATAAGACAAAATTAATTTTTGAAACTACCTATTTACATTCTCTCTCTGTGTATTTTGCACAACTGGGCAAACACGTGAGCCCTAAAATGCGCCAATCAATCAAATCAGAATGGAAATGCACCCATAGTTCCCATTCCATTGCATTGCGCATCCTATCTTCAGAGCTCAAATGTATTTTATTTACCTGTGTTTCAATAAATCATAAATAAAAAGATTTCACCATTCGATGTATTCATATTTTCAAATATTTTGGATGCCTTGTCAGGAAATTTATGTGTACACTCTAGTAAATACTTTAGTACTATTTAGGATATATTTATTTATGTTAAACGATGCTCAAACATTTCGTTTTGGTTTTAAAAATTCAATTATAAGATGGCATCAATTTTTTAACGTTGAAATACAACAAAAAATATGAAAAACATTGAATATCTATCCAACTATAAGAAATAAACTCCCAGGGACATGAAATCTAAAGAAAAAAGAAAATTTGCATTTGCCAATGTTAAATATATTTTACATTTTTAAATTTAAAAAATCAAATTATCCACGATCCAAAACTTCAACTTCTACTTGAAATGTATTAAATTCTTGTTTCATAATCCATTCACCGAACTCTCTTCGCTCTGCAAGCATGAAGATGCAAATTTTTTGTGAGAATACGCTATAGAGAGTTTCTTGAAATATCCAATACTTGACTACGGTGCCGAATTGATATTTCTGAACTCCCAGCAAGACGCTCACGAATTGCCTCGATGTATTGTGTTGAACGAGTTGTTGAAGAAAGACCAAAGTGTTTAAGATCACTAATTGATTCAGTCTCCCCGGATATTTCTCTTCACAGTTGAAGTGTAATTACTATTCCGAACATATTTTCTACGAAAATTGCGATGTAGCTACCAAACCTTAATTAATTTTATAATATTGCTCACAACTTTGAACCGTGAATTTTAATAATGTTAATTCACGGCCACTTGAATTATTCATTTAAATATTTATTTTACAGATATCACTGTAGATGGACAAGTAGAGGCACTACATATACGAAATGCAACGTTGGACGTTTTAAATGTGACACAACCCGTATGGAAAAGACTGAAATACATGACAATCACAGATGGCCAAATCAATAGCTTAGTAGGAGAGTTCGCCAAATTATCGTCAGTGTCTTGCCTGAACCTCTCGTCAAATGGAATTAAGAATTTTGCACAGAGGTCCTTAGTTAACCTGTTCAACCTTAGCTTTTTGGATTTGTCTCATAATAATCTGACTAGTGTCCCTAGATTCAAAAAAGAAGGATCAGTTATATTGGACATATCAGGTAGAAATGATCATAAATTTTATAATTACTGACTGCTAAAGAAGAATTACTGTAATTGTTACAATTGATTAATTAAATTAGTTTGTTAAATATATACATTTTCTTACAGATAATCCTTATATGCTTTGCACTAGTTTGTTAGACACTTTAAAGAAAAGGGAGGTTAATGTCAGTAACGAGGATGTTACTTTTTGTTTGTCCTCAAAGACCTTCCACTGGTTTAACTCAACAGAAAAGTTGCCAATTTCACAAGTACAGGGATTGCTTGAGGTAACTACAGAGCATTCATAAATGATGACAAACCACGTGACCACTAATTTTATTGGGAACAGTAATTTTATACGTTTTGCGTTGGCAATTATATATTAGTAAAATTAAAAAAATAGATGAAGACTAATTTAAAACACATCATTTTCTTTCACAAACAGATGATTGGTGTAATTTTTCACGACATTTTCTCCATTGCATTATCTCGTGCTTGGACTCAACGGTTTGTCATTGTTCATTGTAAATGAAGCATTAACATTAATGACCTTAATATTTAACGACTTTTAGTTGACAGTACTAATCCTGCAATGTTGGTTGGCTAAGCTACGCGGTAACGTGGCCTGTAATCATTTATGAAAGCTCTTGCATTGATTTGCTGAAAACCAACGGTGAAAAAACTGATTTGCTATCTTTTGTTATATACCACGTAAATAAAACCTAGGACACAAAAACCTAGGAGTAAATCATTTTTCCTTTAGTTGATTTTAGGCACTCATTATTGTGGTGTCGTTTTCATTATATGTATACACATCTTGCGTGTTTTATATTTTGCAGATTGAGGAAAACTGTATTGAAAATTGTACTTGCCAACCTTACAGGATGGAAATCGTGTTAGGAAAGCAACCCATATTTTCCGTCGCTGTAAACTGTTCAGGGGTCAATTTGCTTTCCCTGCCAACTCCTCTACCACCACATACTGTATCGTTAAATATTACAAACAATAATGTAAGCACCCATCTACTGTTCTGAACACTTAATTTTATTTTGTATTTCAGATAACATCGTTACAGGAACTGGGAGACCCATCATATCAGCATTTGATGTTCTTGTATGCAGATAATAATCNAGTTCATTTCACTTGCAAAAAATATTTTGTCTCGTGTTTTGATATCTGTAATGGACTTCAAACATAAACATTTTAAATATTTGAAATAGGCAGGTACATTAAAAACTTTAGGTTGCACTGAATTAAAAATGACTACTGTGAAATGCAATTGACGTTTTCTGAAATGCATATAATTAACCTGGAATTAAACTTACCATTTCGGAAATACTACTACTATTCTAAAATGCAATCGATGCTTTCAGAAATATAATTGGAATATTTGTAATGTAATTCACTATTTTAAATAGTTTGTTTTTATTTAATGTATACAATGAATCTTGCAGATGTATGTGCATCTTATATTCTACATACTTATCGTGATACCCACATGGTGCCTTTTGGCAGAACATGATAGTACCTCTGAACACCGCTGCTTCCATCAACCTGCCAGTGAATGCCGTCCTAACGATTTATGCAGATGTCACCAGTTAAAAGACATCAAAAGGGCTGCTGTTTGTTGTGACGTAAACAAATTTACCCTTACAGAAGGATTAGCATGTGCAAGTAAGTTGAATATACAGTATGTTGTAAAAAAAATTAGTTATGTATTAACTGGAAATATAAAATGTCAAAATAATCATTTTTATGACCCCATGAAATTTCATTGAAGATAAATTCTAAAACTGGCGCTAGAGAGCAAAACACCTTTTCATTTCGCTGTGGCATAATAAATGGGAATACTAAGTAGTTAACGCAAGACTTGAATTTTGCGCCATTTGTATTGTAAAGTGTTGAAGATAATGACAGCGTAACAACTGACAATTCAAATATTTCAAAGATTTGCATATTCATGCATACAAAGTTCAATTGATTCAAGAACTGAAGCCTTCTGACCACGAACGAAGAGAGTTTGTTGAATGTTGGAAATGAATGCTCCAAACAATCACGTGCGTGCTAGAGTGAGACAGAGTGTACTCAGATACTGTTTGTCTCTATCGCACACTCAGCCACACTTTTCGCAATGGCATGTTACCTCCAGTAATATATGCTCGAAGGATGAAAGTTACTGGTCTCCAAGGGGCACATATTGCCGTGACATTGTCTGTGACATTTCCAAGGTCACGGCAATACGTGTCCCTTGAAGATCAGTAACTTTCATCTGAACCACTTTTCACATAACCATGTACTTTAGATTTTAGAAGGGGTGGACGGGTAGTCTGGGACATCCTGTATAACTCTATACTGCATACTTTATGAACCAGTAAAAAATTTACAATTTTTACCTGTGTACAAAATTACTTCTTACGTGAATTTTGGAATTCGCTTTACTAACAGAACAATAATTTTGGAAGAACTAATTGATTCAGAAATGCTAATTATATTTTACAGTGAGCTTTGTGTGTTTAAATACGAATATAAACGCTCTATTTGATATAACGAAGAATTTCCGGTGCAATTGTAAATATGAACAAGGTCTTTGAAAATTATAGTCGCTGGACATCATTTTGTTGACAGAGCGGATACATTTACTATATATTAGAAAACCTATTGGATTTGAAACTGATTCTGACTTTATATTTCTGTATATTTAAATAGAAATCCTTTACTTTTCCTGCTGTCTTTTGGAAACTTCTTTAATAGGAAGGGTTTGTGTTATTTGTTATAAGACAAAATTAATTTTTGAAACTACCTATTTACATTCTCTCTCTGTGTATTTTGCACAACTGGGCAAACACGTGAGCCCTAAAATGCGCCAATCAATCAAATCAGAATGGAAATGCACCCATAGTTCCCATTCCATTGCATTGCGCATCCTATCTTCAGAGCTCAAATGTATTTTATTTACCTGTGTTTCAATAAATCATAAATAAAAAGATTTCACCATTCGATGTATTCATATTTTCAAATATTTTGGATGCCTTGACAGAAAATTTATGTATACACTCTAGTAAATACTTTAGTAATATTAAGGATATATTTATTTACGTTAAACAATGCTCAAACATTTCATTTTGGTTTTAAAAATTCAATTATAAGATGGCATCAATTTTTTAACGTTAAAATACAACAAAAAATATGAAAAACATTGAATATCTATCCAACTATAAGAAATAAACTCCCAGGGACATGAAATCTAAAGAAAAAAGAAAATTTGCATTTGCCAATGTTAAATATATTTTACATTTTTAAATTTAAAAAATCAAATTATCCACGATCCAAAACTTCAACTTCTACTTGAAATGTATTAAATTCTTGTTTCATAATCCATTCACCGAACTCTCTTCGCTCTGCAAGCATGAAGATGCAAATTTTTTGTGAGAATACGCTATAGAGAGTTTCTTGAAATATCCAATACTTGACTACGGTGCCGAATTGATATTTCTGAACTCCCAGCAAGACGCTCACGAATTGCCTCGATGTATTGTGTTGAACGAGTTGTTGAAGAAAGACCAAAGTGTTTAAGATCACTAATTGATTCAGTCTCCCCGGATATTTCTCTTCACAGTTGAAGTGTAATTACTATTCCGAACATATTTTCTACGAAAATTGCGATGTAGCTACCAAACCTTAATTAATTTTATAATATTGCTAACAACTTTGAACCCTCAATTTTAATAATGTCAATTCACGACCACTTGAATTATACATTTAAATATTTATTTTACAGATATCACTGTAGATGGACAAGTAGAGGCACTACATATACGAAATGCAACGTTGGACGTTTTAAATGTGACACAACCCGTATGGAAAAGACTGAAATACATGACAATCACAGATGGCCAAATCAATAGCTTAGTAGGAGAGTTCGCCAAATTATCGTCAGTGTCTTGCCTGAACCTCTCGTCAAATGGAATTAAGAATTTTGCACAGAGGTCCTTAGTTAACCTGTTCAACCTTAGCTTTTTGGATTTGTCTCATAATAATCTGACTAGTGTCCCTAGATTCAAAAAAGAAGGATCAGTTATATTGGACATATCAGGTAGAAATGATCATAAATTTTATAATTACTGACTGCTAAAGAAGAATTACTGTAATTGTTACAATTGATTAATTAAATTAGTTTGTTAAATATATACATTTTCTTACAGATAATCCTTATATGCTTTGCACTAGTTTGTTAGACACTTTAAAGAAAAGGGAGGTTAATGTCAGTAACGAGGATGTTACTTTTTGTTTGTCCTCAAAGACCTTCCACTGGTTTAACTCAACAGAAAAGTTGCCAATTTCACAAGTACAGGGATTGCTTGAGGTAACTACAGAGCATTCATAAATGATGACAAACCACGTGACCACTAATTTTATTGGGAACAGTAATTTTATACGTTTTGCGTTGGCAATTATATATTAGTAAAATTAAAAAAATAGATGAAGACTAATTTAAAACACATCATTTTCTTTCACAAACAGATGATTGGTGTAATTTTTCACGACATTTTCTCCATTGCATTATCTCGTGCTTGGACTCAACGGTTTGTCATTGTTCATTGTAAATGAAGCATTAACATTAATGACCTTAATATTTAACGACTTTTAGTTGACAGTACTAATCCTGCAATGTTGGTTGGCTAAGCTACGCGGTAACGTGGCCTGTAATCATTTATGAAAGCTCTTGCATTGATTTGCTGAAAACCAACGGTGAAAAAACTGATTTGCTATCTTTTGTTATATACCACGTAAATAAAACCTAGGACACAAAAACCTAGGAGTAAATCATTTTTCCTTTAGTTGATTTTAGGCACTCATTATTGTGGTGTCGTTTTCATTATATGTATACACATCTTGCGTGTTTTATATTTTGCAGATTGAGGAAAACTGTATTGAAAATTGTACTTGCCAACCTTACAGGATGGAAATCGTGTTAGGAAAGCAACCCATATTTTCCGTCGCTGTAAACTGTTCAGGGGTCAATTTGCTTTCCCTGCCAACTCCTCTACCACCACATACTGTATCGTTAAATATTACAAACAATAATGTAAGCACCCATCTACTGTTCTGAACACTTAATTTTATTTTGTATTTCAGATAACATCGTTACAGGAACTGGGAGACCCATCATATCAGCATTTGATGTTCTTGTATGCAGATAATAATCAAATATCTACCATTCAACAGATGGAGGGTACAAAATTTATGAGTAATTTTGTAGTGTTGAGTTTAAAGAATAACAAAATCAAAGAGGTGAGGTAATATCTTCAATAAGTTGAGTTTATATATGAACCAGTTTATGTTTCAGTTTGAGACATATCTTTTGTCGAATATAAAATTCTATCGTACCAGCGACAGCATGCGCTATATAAATTTAGGACACAATAAGCTACATTGTGATTGTAAAACAGCAAAGGAGTTTAAGGTAAGTAACAGTAGGTATAAGCTTATATTAATGTAACAATTAACCTCAGTATACAAAAACACTTAAGCTAAAAGTAGTTCAGTATCAAATTTAAACATGTCACTTCTTAAATAGATATAACTTGTCAGCAAATTTCTTTAGGTTGCTAAGAAATAATTAATGAACTTTTGTATAAAAGAAAAATTAAAGATTTATAGTTACTGCCTCACCTGTTCTTCAAATATCTCAAATTTAATAAACTTGTTTAATTTAGGTATTCAAAGCAAAAATTCTAAAATAGTTACTACGTCGACATTTTATAAAAGATTTTTTATTATATTTAGTCGTAATCTCAACACTAAAAATATCAAGGCTACTTCTCTTTCTACAGGACGTTCATCAGTTTTCATGATCATGAATGCTAGGCAACCAAACGTACACTATTGCAGTAATGATGCCAGTGGAATGCATACTTAGGTTTTCTTTTGAAAAATATATTCGGCAAAACGTAATTTCGTTTAATTAATTTTTAATTAAAATATACCATTCTTTAGAAAAAAAAAATAAAAAGTTAATTTGGTAGTAAATATACATTATCTGTCAAATAATGATTCTAGGTCTCTAACCACTGACTCCTTCAGTATCTTTTTGAATGTCAAAAATGCGGCTGGTCAGGCAATAACAGTTAATGGTACTCGCTATCGCGACATGATAATCCAATTTTCTTGTGCCTAAATTGCGAGATGGATATTGACGACATGTGGTTTCAACAAGACGGTGCCATATGCCATACAGTTCGAGAAACAATTCCATTACTGCACGAGTCATTTCCTGGTCGTGTAATTTCTCGTTTTGGTGATCAGCATTGGTCTCCCAGATTATGCAATTTACACCGTTGAACTTTTCTATTTTTTGGAGGTGTCTTTTGAAGTCTGAGGTTTATGCCAACAAACCCACGATCACCCACGTTTTGACGGAGGAAACTGAGCGCTGTATCAATGAGATTCAGCCGTATTTATGCAAAACGATCATTGAAAATTTCGACAAAAGAGCGCATTTACCCTATATGCTATTCTATTCATACCCTATACTGTATTCTTTTAGTCAATAGAAAATTTATAATTTTTAATTAAAGACCTATTTTCCATCAAAATTACCTCATGCGTCAATTTTGCGTCTTGTAATAGTGCCACTATAACAGTTGTTACATTTTTAAACTAAAAATTATTAAAATAATAATAATTGTTTTTTGATAATATTTTATATGCAGGTGTGGTTACTGTCCAAATTGGAACACGTACCAGATTACGACGCGATTGGATGTGACAATATGGACGTGAAAATTATGGAATTGGAACAAACTAAACTGTGCCAGAGTCAGCAAGATTGGACTGACTATATATACTATATAATAACCGCTGAAGTGCTCTTACTTATAGGTCTTATTGCAAAAGTGTCTTACGATTACTGGGTATTTAAAACAGCTGGCTATCTTCCATGGCCCGCTAGTAAAATGCCTAAATTGCCTTGTGATTGGCTGTGCGAATAAAGTGCTTTATGTGCTTCCTGTTCTATGGTTGTGACAAGTATATGTATATAACTTTTACCGTTATAGAGTTCTCTCCTGCTTGTTTATTATATGTTTTCTCGAAACGAAAAGTCTGATAGTACAAATTCTATATGTGTCTACTATATTTTACGTTTTACAAAATCACATGCTCAATTGTTATAAGTAGATCACTTGTATGGGATTTTTAAGCTAGATTTATTTACATATCAACATAGTTATACAAAGTAGTCAATTACTGGGTTGCTGAAAATGTAAAAGTGTTTGGTTTGGGTGTTTATATAGCGATTCATTGAAACAAGGCTAAACATTGAAATTTTACCAATTCAGAAACACCAGCTCTATATTTTTAGACTAATTACTACCATTTCTTGATAGAAGAGGTAGAAGACAACTAAAATACCATAATAAATAGTAATATTTCTTTATAATAAGTGTTGCAAAATTTCTAAACAAGTTTATTTAACAAGTATAGTAATTGTTGCTAGAATTTTTAATGTAGCAAATTCAAGTACCTATTTAATATTAGTTTTCTTAACACTTCTTTATCAGACAACGGCATCTTGAGGAGAAGTATGTCCTTGTTTTTTTTTTCATATAATTATACTATAGGAAAAATTTGAATTTTGCACCTTTTTATATTTTGCTCAGAACTCTATAATACTTGTGTTAAAATATTGTCGTGGTTGTGTCAAATATTATAGTCAATGTAATAAATTATATACAGGGTGTTTCTATATATCTTTACATATATACAACATGTTACTGCAGTAAACAATGTTAAAGCTTGAATAGTTTTATTAAGTGTATTATATTTTGTATCGGGGGAATTCTGACCTAGCCCTAATTATTTTGAAATCAACGTAATGCAGATAAAGTTAAGGTCGTTTTCGACTTAACAGTTCGGATTGTGTCTACACTCACAGCATATGTAAACAAGCAATTTCACTCCGTTGTGGGCCCTTTGATCTTTATTCAGCCACTCTTGATGCTGGATAGAGAAATTATTACCAGAGTGGCAATAAGAGTAGATAAGAAAGATAAGATCGTGATAAATATATAAAAAAAAACTATTACTAATTTGAAGAATTATTATAGATGTATTTTATTCGCGATTTGTTAGTTGCAATGTGTTATAAATAATAAAGAGTTTTAGAACCGGTTTAAGGTAATATGTTATTTGTACGATGAGTTTGCGTTTATTGTTATATATCTAACCTTAACAAGATTCTCAAATAGAAGGTTCTAAATCTCTTGACAATTAGTTTAATTATCAAATTTTGCATCAAAATGTTAAGGAGTACGTATTAATATCGACAAAAATTTTTGACGATGATACCCGCAACAATATTTCATATTTGTAATAAACTAGCTTTTATTATTTTCCATATTTTCTTCAGCATGTTGTTTACTAAATTGAGCACATATTTTTTGCATACTAAAAGCATTAGAATAGTCTGTGTAATTCAAATATGCGCTCAATTTTTAGTAAATTCGGTCAATATTGCTTGTTTATAAAACGCATTACTTGAATTGTTAAAAAACGTTTCACTCTCAAAATGCTTTGCAAATCCGAGTAAAATATTTTTGTTATTATGTACACGTCCATTTGTTTATACTGTAATTATACAGGGTGTCTGAGAAACAATTGCCAATATATTAATCATGAATTTAACTTGACAAAAGCATCAATTTTTGTATATTTTTTTGTGTACAGCAAAAAAATTGTAAGAAAATAGTCGCTCTCATACCTTACTTAGACATTTCATCAATTCATTGGCAGCTCATTACAACTATTTTAATCGGCACAAAATACGAGTCGAACATTAGAGCTTTTGATAAAAATTATTAGAAATATATTTTAATGAGTTAAACATATGGTTAAGCTTTTGACACTTATTAATGGGACACTGTACATATTTCGTATCTAATTTCATTTTTAGAGAATCTTTAGAAACCTAAATTACTACTGTAAGAATTATTTTGTTGTTTAAAAGCTGTACATCGACTCATTTCAACTTTTCACTCATTCTGAATTTTTGTCGAACACAAACTGAAAAATTTTTTAATGCGGTTTATTGCACACAGCTGGCGAGTTGTAGAGAGTCTCTGCAGACTAAAATTATGCGCAGTCTAAGTTTTATCGGCGTCTAATGATTTCACCTCTTCTGATTTGACACATTAAGTTGATCAACTTCTCTGAAATGGAACGGCTATATGCTGACAATGAAAAAAAGTTCCTCTTGAATTCAAAGATTAAGGCTAGGTCAGATTGATCAGAACTAAAGTTATATTGAAGTAACAGAATAACATTTTTTATAGGTTCTGTATAGGTACACTTTCGGTAGTCATTATAATTTACTTCCTTAACTTTAAATACTTTGGTTTAATAATATTAATAATAATGTATAGTTTACCACTATGTATAGTTCACGAGATTTCAAAATTAAAATATTGCACATTGTCATATTTTCAAATTATCAAATTATTTCTAACACTACGTGAACTTAACAGGTAGAATTAAATATGTCTTAAAATAATTTGCAGAGGGAAATAATTTTGTGTCCGTCTAAATTGAAAAATATTGTGTGGCATATTTGACATTATTATTTTCTCGACAAATTATTATCATAAATATCATAAGTTATTTTCTCAAAATTTTGTACGTTTTCTATACCTAATATGTTATAAATTGGCTTCATTTGGTTTAAGTATCTACTGTTTTCCAAAAACAAGTTGTTTCATTTTAATGTCGTCCATATTTAGTGCATAATAATAAAGAATAATAATAACTTTCTAAGCCAAATTATTGTTACATAGTTACTCAAAGCAAATATATTTGTTATTTGTAAGTTCAAATTGAAATTAGGACAATCAGAATACTGTATAGTTATTAACGATTTTTTCTGTTGATTTGATGTACAAATTAAAACCTTACAACCAATTTAGTGATAATTGTATCATTTGAACTTATTGCACATATTAAATGAATGTGGTTATTGTAAATAATAATGTCTTTTCTTGTAAGTTAAGTACCCGTAAACAATTTGAAGTGACCAAATTATGACAACAAACTTCGATTTAGTGAAAATACGACAAAATATCGTACTGGTGCACGACACAAACATGTTTTTGTCTCAGGCAGAGTTGCATGAGATTGAGAAAGATCGCACTCGACTAGAAGGAATAAGACGTAGGCACGGTGATTCAGAATAGACTCTTTTAGTGTGACGTCACATATTTAGGCAACCCGCGACATATTGTCTTAGTTGAAATTGTACAGACCGAATCTGATCCTTGTGTACTATTTACATAATGCTCGTGCTCGGAAAGAATAGCCTCATACGTAGGTGAACTGTTGTTGATATTATGCTGTCATTAGCGTATTTTCTCTTGTTTTGTTTAATATTGTTGTCAGTGTGTTTATCGAGTGTTTTTTTCTTCAAGTGCTTTGTTATAGACGTACTCTTAACCATAACCAAACATTCCTTGAATGATATTCTGTTGCAAGGCTACTTCACTTACATGCAATTATCTTTAATGCGCATGCTCAATAACACTGATATAATTTTAATTTATTCATTACTATAAAAGTCAATATTCTATAAATTTAAATATATAAATTCCATAATTCTATTAGTTTGTCATTTGGGGTTTGAAATTTCTTAAATATTTCTAATATTGCTAGAATATCGCAATATTAAAGGTCATGACACAGAAACAATTTTTTTGGCACTTATATCCAAGGTACATAAGGTCGAAAATCAATATAGTAATAATACTGAGAAATTCTTCATCACGATCGGTCGATAGCCGCACTGTTTAAGGCGTCAGTACTTAAATCCATGTGTGCTATCTGCCCGGGTTTCGAATCCCGCGGCCGGTA